TGGTACAATTTCAGAGAGATCCATACACTTACACACAAGTTATTGTCTGGAAGTTACAAAAATGCTTATTTCCTTATAATTCCTTAACTGTTGGTACCATAACCCCCAAAATCAATCCCAACCTTCCTTTTGTGGTATTGAAAATTTCAGGGCAGATAAATCTAAATCTGATGAACATTTATGCCACCTGTCAGATTTGCTCTAAATGCTTTAGTTTCAGAGATATAAACCAAAAACTGCATTTTACCCCTATGTTCTATTTTTAACCAAGTCGGCCATGATGGTTGGAAGGCGGGGTCATCGGACAAATTTTTTTAAATAGATACCCTTATAATGATTATGGCTTAGTATGGTTAACTCTCTCTAAGTAGTTTCAGAGAAGAAGATTTTTGTAAAGATTACACAAACTTACGAAAAATTGACTATAAAGGGCAGTAACTCCTAAAGGGGTCAACTGACAATTTTGGTCATGACGACTTATTTGTAGATCTTACTTTGCTGAACATTATTTCTGTTTACAGTTTATCTCTATCTATAATAATTATCAAGATAATAACCAAAAACTGCAAAATGTCCTTAAAATTACCAATTCAGGGGCAGCAACCCAACAACAGGTTGTCAGATTTGTTTGAATTTCAGGGCAGATAGTTCTTGACCTGATAATCAGTTTTACCCATGTCAGATTTACTCTAAATGCTTTGGTTTCAGAGATATAAGCCAAAATCTACATTTTACCCCTATGTTCTATTTTTAGCCATGGTGGCCATCTTATTTGGTTGGCGGGGTCATCGGACACATTTTTTAAATTAGATACCCTAATGATGATTGTGGCCAAGTTTGGTTAAATTTGGCCCAGTGGTTTCAGAGGAGAAGATATTTGTAAAAGCTAACGACGACGGGCCAGGTGAGCTAAAAATGCTTGTTTTTGGCCCCTTATTCCTCCATGTTTTGGGCAATTACTCCCAAACTCAATCCCAGACTTCCCTTTGTAATATGGACACTGTGTGTTACAATGTCAGAGTGATCCATACACTCACACACAAGTTATTGTCCTGAAACTACAAAAATGCTTGTTTTTGGCCCTTCATTCCTAAACTGTTGGCACCATAACCCCCAAAATGAATCCCAACCTTCTACTTGTGGTATTAAACATTGTGGTACAATTTCAGAGCAATCAAAATATTTATACACAAGTTATTATCCTGAAACTAGTAAAATGCTTGTTTTGGGCCCCTAATTCCTAAACGGTTGGGACCATCATCCCCAAAATCAATCCCAACCTTCCTTTTGTGGTATTGAACCTTCTTTAAAAATAGAGATCCATTCACTTAAACTAAAGTTATTGTCCGGAAACCAAATGTGTCTTCGGACGACGACGACATCATACCATTATACGATCCCAAAAATGTTTTTGCGGTCGTATAAAAAGGGGCATAACTCTAGGACAGTTAATGACTCATAACCTTAAGTTGAACTCTGTCTGCATGTTGTGGTTCTAAGCATTGTTCATAAGTTTCATAAAATTTGCATGAGGCAAACTTAAGTTAGAGTGCGGAAACGAAAAATTGGACGGACAGATGGTCAAGGGTAACACTTAATGCCCCCTTCGCCTACAGCAGCGGCATAAAAATAAAATCAATTCTTCGTAATTTTTTTTTATTTCTGCAGACACATCACAGTTTATTTGCCTTTCTTGGTCTTGATTTTGTTCATGTAGAGTTCTTTTCCTTCCAGGATGTAGCCATCAGCCCTTCCACATTTTCCTGGTCTAGAGGACAGCTTAGCTAGAAAAATAAGGAAAGGCAAATTCTTAGTATTTCTGTCCCAAACTTTGAACTCCATAGATATTTCCTTTAGCAATGCATTAAGTCTACAAACTTTTTATCTTTTTTATTATTCGAAATGACAGTTTGAAAATCATAATTTGAGAAAAAAATTCAAAGCAGGAAGGATAAGAAATATTTACCAAGCACTTTGTTACTTTCAGGAAAGTTTTGATAAACACATTAAAGTCATATGAAAGTTCAAATTCACTGCTATTGAATTGTTGTCTTCTGTTAGAGAACGGAAACTAAAAATTTAGCAATTTTTCCTTTTATAAAGGGGCATAACTCTAGAACGGTTAAAGTGACGCCACCAAAATTCAACCTTGATCTGTGTTTTGTGGTAATTAGCATTGTGTATAAGTTTCATAAAATTTGGTTGAGGCAAACTCAAGTTAGAGAACGGAAACCAATTTCGGGACGTACGGACGTACGTACGTACGTACAGACGGACAAGGGTAAAACTTAATGCCCCCTCCGCTACGGCGGGGGCATAAAAATATCGTTGTCTATATATTGTAAGTAGTTCCTATCAAATTCACTTAACCATTTTTTGAACTGAATACCCCAATAGTGATTGTGGAAAGGTTTGGTTACATTTGGCCCAAAAGTTTCAGAACATTTTTGTAAAAGTAATCATACGACGACGAAGGACGAGGAAAGATACATTTGTAAGTGATGAGAAAAGGTTCACTTGGCCAACAGGAAGTTTATGAGCCATTTAGGGACCATTTCTTCATGAAATAGACTTTAATAGATATGTCCTATTTTCGGTGCAAAATATAGTTAGCATGCATTTTGTGTCCGGGGATACATGGACACGTATGTATGGCTTCACCAAAAAGAGTACAAATATTACTTTTGACATGTTTGAATAGTTGACTTTCAATTGAATTCCTGAAACAATAATATAAAGACTAACTTACTTACCACTGTCATCATAAATAGTATATCTTACTCTTCATCTTGCAACCTCAGTTATATTAATGCAAATCAATTTAGAATAAAAACTATTTTCTTCAATATCAAATATCGACAGGAACATGATTTATTTTAAAACTAAATGTTTTATTTGTTTTATCATAATTTTCAAGGGAAACAAACTATTTTTTTCACTTCCCTGTATAAATTAAGTTATTTTATCCAGAAATTAAGGATCGAACAATTTACCCCCCCCCCCCCCCCCCCCCTCTTTCAGACCCCTTTTGTGTTTTCAATAATCTATAGACTAATAAAACCTAAACAGTGCGTGTGGTGAATCCTTTTAGGATATAAACTCAAAGAAACATCTACCTGCTCAAACTCAAGTCATGGATAATTGTATGTCATAACTGACTAGACAATTTAATTCAGTTTGACGTACAGCTCCGTAAACTTATACCCTGGGAACAGTATATCAATATATATGTTCCTGTTATACTGAACCATATCCAAATGAATATGATTTCATCTTTAAGGCGCAACACATATAAATATTGGGAATGCGTAAGAAAAATAGGAAGACATCAGTGGAAGAAATACATTGTTCACACTATATGAAAAATCAAAGGCTATATACACGCAAAGCTCCCGCTGCGAATCAGGAAGATCGGGGAAGAAAGGTCTGATAAGCCTACATCTGATAATTATCAAGGAATATATATCTTCTTACTTTGATATAGTTGTATTGCCATTCGATTTTATTATTTATAGTAGGCCCCAAGTTAAAATCGGCTCTACACGTTTGGATGTACGCTGGATTACTATATATAACAATCGATTTTGCATGCGCCTGCGCAATGCGAATATTGAAAGTACAATACAATAAAAGTTGCAGGAGTTTTGTCACAGCAAGTGTCCTTTAAGGGTATAAAATTGTATAGACAATTAATTAACTCTATTTCTTGAATAACACACAGCATTACACTGGAACTATTTGAATATTAAATATTGGTATTGGTGTTCTAGATGGATGTGTCCGGTGCCTACGCATGCCAATATGAATTTACAGTATAATTTGTGTTCCAGAAAATTGTATTTAATTAAAATTTACATTTGTGGCATTTTACATTAGAACACCGTCATTTGTATTAAATTAAGCCTTTAAACTGAATTAGTATATTCAATATTTATAATTTATCCGGTTGTGTCCGTGTGTCCGGCTACAAAATGCATGTCAACTATTTTTTGCACAGGAACCTTGCCACTAAATTATGCAATATACGACCACAAAAATTTTTTTGCGGTCGTATAAAAATGGATATATGTAATACAAAGAAAATATTTCAAGATCTTTCTCTTATATTTTCAATTGTCAACAAATTATTTGTGACTTTTTGTCCTATCAAATTTGTGACTTTTATGTCCTGTGACTTTCTGTCCGTTTACCAAAAATTATAACCCTTATTTACGGGTTGAAAACACAAAAATATATACCTGGCACTATTTGTGCATACTTCTAAATACATAATAAAAATATAATCAGGCAGGGAAATAAACTTACTCTGTGGGGGACTTCTATACTAATTTTGTTTTGATTGAACTAAAAACGTGTTCCATGGCTGAATTTTGAGAGCTATATTAGAATAGAATATTTTTATTTCCCAAATTACAGGGCCCATAAAGGGCATAAAATCAGATACAATTGATTTACATAATTGGTAACAACAACAATAATAGTCACTTGAAAATATATATTTAGTATATTAGCATTGGTCAGAATCAGAGCCAAAAACCACATATATATTGTGAATAAAAGAATAAAGTTACATTATATGTATCCATTCTCAAATCATTTACTTGACTTAGTGTCAATATGCATACCTGATCTCCGTAATTCAAAACAGTCACAAATATAACAGCCCAGTTTTTCCATAAGAGTTACATTTTCTTGAGTCAAGAGCCATAAAAATTTAGAAGATTTATTTAAATTTTTAAAATTATAACAATTGTCAGATATGTATTGAAAAAAGTCTTCCCTTTGAGTATCATAAAGAGGACTATATAAGAAAGGGGATAGGAACTACCCTGAAATGCGTTTACTCTAAACCTGTACAAAGAGGGATAACTCAATACCAAACAAGAGGCTCTCAAGAGCCTGAATCGCTCACGTGTATTTCAGAGGAGAAGATTTTTAAATGTTAGCAAACTTGATGAACAAATTGTGTAAAATTGTCTTTAAATAACTCATTAAGGGGTCAATTGACAATTTTGGTCATATTAACTTTTTTGTAGATCTTACTTTGCTGAACATTATTGCTGCTTACAGTTTATATACATATCTATAATAATATTCAAAATAATAAAAAACTGCAAAATTTTGTTAAAACTACCAATTCGGTGGCAGCAACCCAACAATGGGTTGTTCGATTTGTCTGATAATTTCAAGGCCGATTGATCTTGACCAATTAAACAATTTTACCCCATGTCACATTTGCTCTAAAAGATTTAGTTTTTGAGATATAAGCCAAAAACTGCATTTGACCCTTATGTTCTATTTTTAGCCATGGCGGCCATGTTTGTCAATGAATACAAACTTCGGATACAATTTATAAACAAGATACCATAAGGAACATTTAGTTAAAGTTTGAAGGTAATTGCCCCAATAGTTTCAGAGAAGAAGATTTTTAAATGTTAGCAAACTTGATGAACAAATTGTGTAAAATTGTCTTTAAAGTGCAATAGCTCCTTAAGGGGTCAATTGACAATTTCGGTCATATTAACTTTTTTGTAGATCTTACTTTGCTGAACATTATTGCTGCTTACAGTTTATATATATCTATAATAATATTCAAAATAATAACAAAAAACTGCAAAATTTTGTTAAAACTACCAATTCGGTGGCAGCAACCCAACAATGGGTTATTTGATTCATCTGATAATTTCAAGGCCATTAGATCTTGACCAATTGACCAATTCTACTCCATGTCAGATTTGCTCTAAAAGCTTTAGTTTTTGAGATATAAGCCAAAAACTGCATTTGACCCCTATGTTCTATTTTTAGCAATGGCGGCCATGTTTGTCGATGGATCAAAACTTCGGATACAATTTATAAACTAGATACCATAAGGAACATTTAGTTAAAGTTTGAAGGTATTTGGCCCAGTAGTTTCAGAGGAGAAGATTTTTGAAATAGTTTACGACGACGAAGACAGACGACGGACGACGACGGACGCCAAGTGATGGCATAAGCTCACATGGGGACCTTCGGGCCCCGGTGAGCTAAAAAGTGAAACACTACAACGGGTAAGCAACAGATTACTGTAAGCAACTGTGTGCATGTGCAAGAATAATTTACAGTGAATATAATCGGTGCACAAACCAGTATTAATTCGCCTATAAACAATTGTTCAAGATACTGGTATAAAGGATATCAACACAGCTTGGCGTATCCACCACCAATTTACAACGCAACGGCAGTTGGTCTTATCCAATATCAGCTAAGGATGTTATCCCAGCTGGGTGCTCAATTAAAAAACTTGTAGCTTTAAAGTAACTTAATGTCAATTCACTTTTGTACACGTGCAGGAAACTGTTCCATCACCATACTATATACATTTGTACTCCATTTAAGGCACACATGTTATTATGTCAATAATACACTAAACTATGTATTTTACTGTAAAAGTTCATGCACTGTGGCATATACTAAAATCTAAAAACACCTCATGTGCCACCAAGTTATCAATGTTACTGTGGCAGTTTGTAACTCAGCATATAACTCAAATTCCTATTGTTCATTCAAAATTAAACCAATATGCACATCTTTATTGGTACGTCTCTTAAGTCACCTTACACTGCACCAGTAGCCTTATAACTCCTCCTTCAATAAAGAAACACAACAAATTAAGTTTGGGAGAAAATCAGTAGCTTATCACAATCTTAATTGGGACATATATTTCTATTAGCTATGTAAAACTTTCCTTATATCTTAATAAAAAAATTCTTCACCGGAATATAAATGTAAGGGGACGACCATTTGATATTCCGGTGGGGGGGTAGGAGGGGGGGGGGGGGTCAGGAGGATTTTGAAAATAAATAACTCAGCCTTGATAATCACAAAAATAAATGGTTTGTTCTGTGGTAGTTTGAAAATAAATGACCTGACTTGCAATGTATTGAAAATAAATAACTCAGCAGGTCTAATCGAAAGTATGAGATGGCACCAGATTCTTCATAAATTAATCTTTTTTCCAAAAAAAAAAATCGGGAAACACTTCCCATATCTTTTAATAATAAAAGTATAAATATTATTTAAATATACTTGAAATGTCAGAAAATTGGTTTCATTAAACTTGAGGTTAATTGTCTCAGGAACACTTACCTCACTTTTATTAAATCAGGGCCGTAATTACATTGAGACAAATGCCTCATGTAGGAAATTTCAAAACCAAACTCTTGTCTCCATATCAAATTGTGTTCACCGTGAGTGCCTTGCAAGAAGCAAGTTCTGTTCTCCCTCAGACGTAGCCCCTAATTTTTCGGGATCAATATTTCTTATTTATTTGTCTTTTGTTCATTGATTGCCCTTCTGTATTCTGTTAGTGTTGCATTCATTTTGTAATTTAGTAATTTTATTATTAACTTGATTATGAGTTTAAAAAAACACAGCAGCCACAGACTTAACTATGTGAATTACATTTTTGCTTTTAATATCATGCATATTTGTCTTTTGATGTTGTTCCTAGAAACTTAAGTCTTACACTGAATCTGTAACGTGATTTTGCTTTGAGACCAAAATATTGTCATAAAATTATTAAAACAGAACTTGCATTTTCAGTTTAAGAAAGGGTCTGGGGAACACCCAGAAGTCATGATTTTGCATCATTTGTTCTATAGCTTCTTGGGCCTTCAGCGTTTCAAAAACCCTTCAAAAAAATTTTTGCCTCGCTCCGCTAGGCGAAACACGTTTGCCAATACTTTTAGAAGAGCCTTAGTTTCAACCAAACTTTAATACTGTGTATGTATGCAATACATGTATATGCATTGGGGGATATAAAAAGATTCATTTCTGCAGAGGATAATAATTAATTCTGATTAAATGGTACATAATGACTTGACTATACATGAATTATTTATAATAAACAAATAATTTAAAAATTGTATGTTTTCGAATATTATAAATATAGTTGTGAAAATAAATAATCAGTCCCTTGCTTTAATGAAAATGAAAAATCTTGCTTCAATAGTGCAGAAAATAGATAATCTGTCCTCTTAGTTTACAAAAATAAATAACCGATCCACAACAAATCCTCCTGCCCCCCCCCCCCCCCCCCCCCAGAATATCAAATGGTCGTCCCCTAAGTATTAAATGTTAACCATGATTACATAATTTCCTCACAAACGAAATATAACATGATAATATGGATAATATTCAGTCATTCAAAGGGTCTATTTTTTCTGATGGGCGCAGCCATGATGATTTGTTAAAATGCAATATTTATAATACTTTATTCCCCTTCTTTACAAGAGATCAGTAATGGAAACCTACGTATCAGGGACGAGGTTAGATGAGGGTACGGAATTGGCCGAGTTGAGATTAATGCTGTGTACCCATCAGAACCAGGACTTTTACCATTTGTCATATATTTTAACAAATCAGCACACTCTTTAAAAGTTAAATTTCCCTCGCAAAAATCTCTTTGTTCTTCTGTGAGCTTAATTCTATGATTAAAAAATGATCTTTAGTATAAATTTCTATAAAAAATTTATTGTTCCGTAATACCGGCGTCACACATCAGCGTATAGCTCCGATGTACGCCTGGTGTGGTAAAAAATCGTGTATGCTGCCAATACGCTAGTAATTTTGGATGCATTCAACCTGTCAATCATATCTGTATCGTGTGCGCAATGAGCTTTAAGTGTGTATTGGGCGTATGAGAAGCGTACCTAAGCGTTTATCAGGCGTTCAAGTAACGTATGTTGGCCTATGCCTGGCATTTGTCTAACGTAGATGGAATGCACGCTACGAAGGAAAAAAGTCTCTTGAACGTATTTAAGACGCGTCCCGGTCGTATCTCGGACGTTCTATTATAGGGTGTTTGTTACAAAAACACCCACATACGTTTAAGTTAAAGTCGAACGATCTTGAAGCATATACAACGTGACCTAAACGTGTCTCAAACTTATCTGTAGCGTTTTCAACGCACTTGTAGTGTATGTATTACGTGTGTGTAGGGTACAGGTATACGCTAAACACATGCTTGAGCTGGATGAAAATTTTTATGCTGCATAAAAATTTCCTCGAGTTGTAGCGTTCACCAAGCGTATACCTTTGCATTTCAACGTACTTCAAACTTATGTAACGCGCGTTTAACAATTGCTTAACGTTCCTCTGGCGTGCAACTAACGTATACCAACTTTGTCAATTTTCTCTGTACGTTTGGTGCACGCTGGTCTATATGCCAATGTGTGATGCCGGCATTAGAATTTTTGATTGCTCTGATATATGTTGACCTTTGTCATCTATAAGTTCTGTTGTTGTTTTCTTTATAAAATTTTTCTTTTCTAATTTACAAAAATAATTTGAACATTTTTCACCATTCTCATGCCAGTTAGAGCGGGATCTAAGCAGCACCAAGCGTATACCTTTGCATTTCAACGTACTTCAAACTTATGTAACGCGCGTTTAACAATTGCTTAACGTTCCTCTGGCGTGCAACTAACGTATACCAACTTTGTCAATTTTCTCTGTACGTTTGGTGCACGCTGGTCTATATGCCAATGTGTGATGCCAGCATTAGAATTTTTGATTGCTCTGATATATGTTGACCTTTGTCATCTATAAGTTCTGTTATTGTTTTCTTTATAAAATTTTTCTTTTCTAATTTACAAAAATAATTTGAACATTTTTCACCATTCTCATGCCAGTTAGAGCGGGATCTAAGCAGCAAACGTTCAACCTTCTTTTGTTGACAATTATCTTGTTCAAATTTTTTATGAAGTAAAGATTTTTGAACCTCCTCATTTGGAGAATGGTTCATAATACTTTCTAAATGTAAAATATTATTTTCAAGTTTCAGGGTGAAATTTTTTTCCTCTTTGGATTTATTTATGCTGTAATTTATGGACAAAGATCTAATCTTCATTTTCAATATTTCAAAAAATGTTTGATCATTACATGACAAATCAACAGAAAGAAGATCTTCCATATCACCTGACAGATATTATTACAAAATAGTAACCTGAATGCATAATTTAACCTTTTGTATATAATCTGCATCTCTGAGTAACTGAGAGTCAAATTTTCAGTAACTTTTGCCCCGTTTCTCTAAACAAGCTGAGAAGGTGAAAATAATTGCTGAGTGGTCAGTTCTATAACCTGGTATAATTTTAGTATTTTTCATTAGTGAAAAAAGGTCTTCTGAAATTAAAAAATAATCTCAACGACTTTGTTTTATAGGTGAGGACTGACGCCGAGTATATTTCCTATCTTCTGGATGGCATGCACGCCAAGGATCAAGTAGTTCAAAAACATCAATAAATAGAAAAGAGTTATTACAAAGAAAAAATTAAATTAAAAAAACATCATAACGCATACCTCTAGTTGTAACTTTTACCGATTTACTACCAGATATTCATGACATTGTGAAAAACAGAATTGATATTTTACATAACTGTAACTTGATGAAAGAAATATTTCCTGAACTACCACTTGTAGCTTATCGAAGAGATAGAAACTTAGCAGACATAATCGTACATGGAAAACTAAATAAAATCACCAAAAAAAGTACTAACAACAGCAGCAACAAAACATGTAAAGAAGAATGTGAAGTTTGCAATATTGAAAGAAATTAAGAAAAAATTATACTCGGAGATAAAACATTCAACCTCAAAAAGAACATTCATTGATGTCAACTAGTGAACCTTATTTATGGACTTCACTGTGGAAAATGTAACCACTACGTCTATGTTGGGGAAACAGAAAGATCACTCAACGAAAGAATAAAAGAGCATCTTGCAGATATCAGACATGATAGAGATACAGCTGTGGCGGAACATTTTAACCAAGAGGATCATTGTAAAGAGGACTTCACAGTTCAAGTTCTGCAACAAATTTACGATAAATCCGCAAATTACAGAAGATATATTGAGGCACAATTGATGCTAAAACTAAATACAATTAGACCATTTGGAATCAACGTTAAAAAGGAATGACTTTAATTCATCAAAGCTTATATAATTTAACTTTCATTCATAAAATAGTATTATGACGTCATGTTATTGTGACGTTAAAGTATTGTGACGTCATGACAGTTCCAAGGAGTTATATCTATAACATCTTAATGATTGAAAAAGAAAAAATGTCTGCCATGTAGTTGTGGAGAAAAATAAAGAACTGAAGAAGGCCAATGCCTGAAACATCTCAAAAATTAGTTTATTGCTTAAATAATATCAATAATTTCATCAATTTTGTTTACGGATATTATGTTTGATATTATTTGTATCAATAAATTTATCTAAAACAACATTCCAATCACCACATAATAAAACACTTGTGTTTTTAAAGGATAAAATGTTCTGCATTATTATATCAAAGAATGAAGGTTCATCAGTATTATAGCCATACAGACAGGCAAAACTCAATTTTTGTGAAAAAATTGTTAAATCTAAAACAATCTAAGACCATTATCATCAGTAACAGAATTATGCGCAACAAAATCCAGACCCTTTTTAAACATAACAGAGACACATGCACTTTTACTGTCTTTATGACTGAAAAAACATGTGCTTCCGCATTCATCCTCCAAGTTTTTTTTCAATGTCTTTATTACTATGAGTTTCCTGGAAACACACTATTGAAGTATTTTTACTTTTAGCCCAATCAAATACATCTGCCCTCTTTTTGGAATTTGAGAAAAGACCCCTCACATTTACTGATAATATCGCTACATTATTATCCATGATTATAGATGAAGTGATGTTTTATAAACCATATAATATTAAAGTATAAGTTCATAAGTACAAATATACAATTGTAACAAATTTAACATACACAAACATACACACATACAAACATAAGATGTCGCATATTATTTTTTTCTTTCAACATTGAATGTATTAATTAATTTACAGTATGGCATGTAACAATTATACTTAATACTATCAAAGGAATAGATGTTTAAAAGATAAAATTGAATATTTATATCATTATAAATGTTAGAGTTATTTCCCCTTTACTGTATAGTGACAGTATAATTTATTTTAAACTAATTTATCAAGATGAATTTCTCTTATATTCTTTACTATTTATATAGGAATATGTAATTCACAACTGATATAAAACACTTTTTACTTCAGCAGTTATCTTTTACATTTATATCAATCTATTGAAATTAATAAAAAGCTGGAATGATTCAAAAATTAAATTAAATGATGTAACTGACTATACAAGATTGATAAAGTTCCCTTTTTCAATTTCTTTTTCATTTTTTCATCTACATTGTCAAACAGGTCAAATCTTATTCTACTACTTTTTTTCAGTTTTGGCAAGCACATTACAGTTGTAAAACCATACATCTTCAAATTTTTCAGTGTTTTTAAGTCTTGCCGTAAGTCCAATATTGCGTTGTATTATATCATCATGAAATTTAAGTTCAATTTTCAAGGATCTTTTTTGTCGCATTATCCGTATTTTAGTGTCAGTGTTTCTAACCTTCACAATAACAGACTTCTGGTAACCTTCTTTTCCAGGTATTCTGTGGATGGCTAGCACATCACTGGGCTCAATATTTACATTTAGGTCACTATTTACTAGTTCAACAAAGGTTTTTTTCAAGTTCTCACCCCTTTTTTCAGGAAAGTTTAGCAATCTTATGTTATGTTATACACATTTTTGCAAAAGAAATTGTAATGTATGGTGTAAAGAGAGCCGTGGTGTAGTGGTTAGTGCATCGGACTACTAACACAAAGGTTCCTGGTTCGATTCCCGTTCCAGGATGAAAATTTCAGGGACTGAATTTTCGGCTCTCCCTTGACACCATTTGCGAGTATGGTCTTGAGGAAACGATGATAGTCCGTCGGATGGGGACGAAAAATGGCCGACCCGTGTCAAGAAAGAGCCATATCTCTTGCACGTTAAAGACACCCTTGTAAGTTGCAAAACTTGTTTCCCAATCCACTATAAATAAACATGTTTAAACTAAACTAATGTATGTGGAAATGAAGTGCAACATGGCTGGCATGTCAGAAACTGCTAGTTGTCCTTTGTTACCTATTCTGACATCAGACTCAGACTTCTACCAAACTGAGGTTTACTGTGCATATTGTTGTGTGTTTGTTTTACTACATTGGCTAGAGGTATAGGTGGGGGTTGAGATTTCAAAAAACATGTTAAACACCGCCACATGTTTGGGCCTCCCCACAGTCAGGAGCATCTGGCCTTTGTTAGTCTTGTATGATTGTTAATTTCAGTTTCTTTTATATTATTTGGAGTTTAGTATGATGTCCATTATCACTGAACTAGAATACATTTTGTTTAGGGGCTAGCTGAAGCATGCCTCTGAGTGCCGGATTTTCTCGCTGCATTGAAGACCCATTGATGGCCTTTGGCTGTTATCTGCACGTTGGTCGGTTGTTGTCTCTTTGACACATTCCCCATTTCCATTCTCAATTTCATTGATACATTTCTAACTATCTAGTTACAGTATGTTTCTCACGATAAAGAAGTTGTCTTTGAAAATAATTTTTTTATAAATTTTTAAATCAACCTTTTCTATTTCGTTTTGCCTCCATTGTTAAGGTATCTGTACTAAAATAAATGTTTGTATCTCTAAAGTTTTTAAAAATTTATTAATAGAGAATAACTCACCAAAGAATCTGAGAATCCTTCTTTGTAATTATAAAAGCCATTCCTGAGCCTGTGACAATGACTTCTTTACAAAATGTTGTCTGTATACATGCATGGCTTCTTTTATCTTGAAGAAAAAAAAATACTATTATCTCAATAATGTATAGAAAACTAGGTATAGGCAATATTATTGGTATCTATTCTTTTTATTCATTTTATGCCATTGTTAATTAAAAGATCTTGAAGTGTAAAGATATAAGTTCAGTAATTTATCTGTGATTTACAAAATAACGCAGGTATGTTAAGGCAATTTTTTCAGGGTCAAATAACTCTTGTGATGCTTATGAATATTAATGAGCAACGTTGCGTCTCCATAGTGACCACGCTGTCAAGACCGACTAGGCATATTATTTTAGTGAGTCAGTACTGATTGGCAAGTAAAGTTATGCCAAAAAATTTCGGCAGGGGGTCTGGAATAAATGGTGTAAAATTCTGCATTCTTGGCATTTCCAGAGAGCTCGACATCGTTGAGACAAGCTGTCCAGAGTTTTTCTTTTTGCCACATGCTTCCTTTTAATATAATGAATACGGGAAATTGGATATAACTACATGTGTATCGTTTTATGTTATTATGGGAATATTGATGGTTTTTTTTCAGATTATTTCTGGAAATAATTAGTGGCAGGATATTTTAGATTGACAATTGAATAATGAGGGGTAGGAGGGGGTCCGATCCCTCAATCCCGAATTAAAAGACACGAAATCCGGTAGTCATGAATTAGAAAACATGAAACCCCATTTTAAAGGTCCTACCGTCCCTCAATAATGTCAAAATTGGAATACCGGATGTTCTTTAAAATTTTAAGGTAAAAGAAACATGGATAAAAACTAATCCATGCATCTTTCATATTATTTATATTTTGTTTATCTGTAAAGAGAACGAATCAAGTTGGGGAAAATGGCGAAATACTCCGCAGACAGGACTGCTCCCGTGCGGTGCCCCAGTACTTGATTTGTCAGTCTATTTATAGTTTTTGAATTAGTTCCAATGAAAATATATTCAATACTGGAACTCTTAACACCTGTTGTGATCACAAATAACATCCCTTAGTGTACTAGAATTATTCCTTCCTCACCTTCAGTATCGTTTTCCTTTTTCTGCAAGAACCTCCTTTTGACCAGAGATCTATGATGATTACCGGTTACTAGGTTAAAGTAATCGAGAAACATCACCGAGTGAGATGCTGATTTATACCCGGTGTCATATGGTATTTTGAATCCCCTAAAAAGTTAACCCCGGGTCAAAATACCATGCAGTATAATGACCCCAGGGTCATTATACCGCATGGTATTTTGACCCCGGAGTCATTTTTCACATATGGTATTTTGAACCCCACCATGGTATATTGAACCCCCCTGTTTTATATAAATAGTATTGCATATTATCTAATTTACTAAATAATAAAATAGTAACAGTAGCTAGAATTTTGAAATTGGAGGTATAAAAGGGGGAGGGGGTTCAATATACCATGGCAGGGGGTCAAAATACCATGGCTTAATAAAATTTTCAAAATATCTTTTCATGCATGTAAAATACATACAAACTACTTATTGGAGTATAATTACTATGTGAAAGAGTTATAACAGCTAGAATTTTTAAATTTAAAGGTCTATAGTAGGGGGTTCAATATACCATGGTAGGGGGGTCAAAATACCATGGCAAAGTAAAATTTTCAAAATATCTTTTCATGCATGTAAAATACATACACACTACTTATTGGAGTATAATTACTATGTGAAGGAGTTACAGTAGCTAGAATTTTTAAATTTAAAGGTCTATTGTAGGGGGTTCAATATACCATGGCAGGGGGTCAAAATACCATGGCGAAATAAATTTTTCAAAACATCTTTTCATGCAAGTAAAATACATACAAACTACTTATTGGAGTATAATTACTATGTAAAAGAGTTATAACAGCTAGAATTTTTAAATTTAAACCATGGTAGGGGGGTCAAAATACCATGGCTAAATAAAATTTTCAAAACATCTTTTCAAGCAAGTAAAATACATACAAACTACTTAATGGAGTATAATAACTATGTAAAGGAGTTATAACAACTAGAATTTATGAAATTAAAGGTCTACAGTTGGGGGTTCAATGTATCATGCTCATTGTTGAAGGCCATATGGTGACCTATAGTTGTTAACTTCTGTGCCATTTGGTCTCTTGTGGAAAGTTATCTCATTGGCAATCATACCACATCTTCTTTTTTATAAACTACTTATTGGAGTATTATAACTATGTAAATGAGTAAGAATGGCTTTATTGTTTGTAATAGGAGGTATATGAGGGGGGCAATATACCATGGCAAAGGGGGGGGGTCAAAATACCTTTGCTGAGTAAATTTCCAAACATCATTTCAACATGTTAAATACATTCCAACTACTTATTGGAGTATTATTAATATCCTTAGGAGTAAGAATAGATAATACTTTTCAAAGTGAAGGTATATAAAAGGTAGGGTCAATATTCCATATATAAGGTTATTGACTGAGGCCCCAGTTTGTTAACAGAATTGATCAAGTATAAGAATTGATTGTTTTCATTGTTTTTAATTGCATTAATAAGTGCATGAATAACCAGTGAAGTTTTAAATAATAGATTCATCTCTTTCATTCAAACTTTCATTTCCTTTTGCATTCAGTACATGTGATATACATTATAAAGAACCATTATTTTCCATTCAATGATTCCACTCTTCCACACCTATTCCTCGCTTTTTCATACTTATATACATATTTATATATATGATAATTAAAATGTCAATGTCCATAGCAATGGTTTTTGGACATATATTTTAAAAACAAATAAGTCTAAAATTTTACTGGCTTCTATATGAAACTGATTTTAGAATGTTAATTTTTGTAAATAAAACTTTAAGTTGACCTTTTGGATCCAATAACTCTGATAAACATTAAATTTGATTTATGAGAGACTGGCTCATAAGAAATGGTATCTTGAATAAGTTTTAGTTTTAATTCAATTTGTTCAGTTAACCTTTATAAATACTTAATCATTGTTATTATCTCTAAAAAACATAAATGTAGACGTAGATATTGTGTATCCCTTTTATATAAAACCTAGTATATACTTTTTTCACATTGTAAATAAAGAATATTGTCTTTGAATATAACAAAGGAAGATCATGATAATGTCTTGTCTGTCTTCTATCATGTCTATGGTGTTGTTGTAGAGTGGGTGAAAAGTTGATGACTGACAAATTTCCTGTAACCCTTTACATGGCATTGTCTCATGATGGTTGTTGGCTTCTTGTGAAGAATTGCATATGCATTCTGTAAGAGAAAAAAATATTTAGATGTTTTGTTCAATATTGAAGCACTTCTTTCCTAATTGCGTATGAATAAGTTTTAAACATTATGTATTTAATTATTAACAAAATAGTCATTCAAATTAAGTTAAAAAAAGGTAATATTATTTATTGCTTATTCTTTTTTTTTTCTGCTTTTGTAATTGTTTTTTTTTTGCTAAGTACAAATACAGATTCTACCACTGCATAGAGTTTGATACAATATTTATCCACTCGAGACAATTTTCAAATTTAAAAAGCGAGTCTCGCTGAGCAATCTAAATATTTAGAATTTAAATATCGAGAGTGGATAAATATAGTAAATTAAAACAAGATTTGGTGGTGGAATCTGTTTCTCTTATGATTTTCAAACAACATGCCATCACAATAGGAAATTCAGAGGAAAGCAAGAAAATTTGTTGTCATAATCGAATTTTGACAAATGAAGAACTGAGTTCACACAAACTGCACTTTGATTAAATAAAAAATAATCAACATGTTGGGAAACAGATAAATTGTGTGAGAATAATAGAAATTATTTTACGTACCATTATTACAAACACACCACAGGAATCACCATCTGCCTGCTTTGATGACACAAACTGTTCCAATGTCCATGATGTAGGTGTTCCTGTAACTATTTGATGTCTGGCTTTCATAAATTGCCTGAAACACAAAATAAACTTTTAGAAGATTTGCTTATGTTAAAAGTCATCATCGATATCTTGTTTGATTCACTTCATTGAGGTGAATTAAATAGCATCTCAATGACAGTCATTCTACATCTCCTTTTAATGTATTGTTAAATTGAATATAAACACTTTTTAGTTGAATGTAATTAGAATTTGAAGAAATATTTTAATTATGCAATATTTATTTATAAAATTTAAATAAAAGCATCTTTTAAACCAAATTTGTTCAGGTAAATTCCAACTTTGGAATGTGATACTTAGCTGAATATATCTAGAGATAATAAATTTATCTTTACAAAAATGTCATTTGTTTCAGTGTTACATAATTGTTTTTCGTTCATTTTTTTTACATGATTTAGGCCGTTAGTTTTTTCGTTTGAATTAGTTTATATTGTCATTTTGGGCCTTTTATAGCTGACTTTGCGGTATGGGCTTTGCTCATTGTTGAAGGCTGTACAGTGACCTATATTTGTTAATTTCTGTGTGCTTTGGTCTCTTGTGGAGAGTTGTCTCATTGGCAATCATACCACATCTTCTTTTTTATAAATATAGAAATAAATGAGTATAAGGGCTAATTAGTCTTGTAAATTCAGTTCTCTACAATTCAGTGAACTTTTTTTTATATAACTGAAGAAATTCCTAAATTGTCATAAATTTGAACTATTCTGAACCTTTATGCACATGTGTACAACTCTCCCAATATAAATTCCTCACAAAAGGTTCGTACCTCATTGATTCTTATCCCATACTCTTTTAGACCTCAAAATAGTACAATCAAATTTTTTGTTTGAATTAGAAACATACCTCCAATGGTTTACAAATCTTTTCTGCCTTGAAATGTTATGCATTGAATCTAGGACACCAACTGTTCTGTGACTCGGCCTTGCTACCAAAAGGAACCAGTGGTCTTTGTAGCATACTGGCATCAATATCAATTCATACTGCTCTAGAGAATCCTGTAAAATTAAAGTATTTCATATAATAATTTGATTTTCATAACCATAGCTTTGCAAGACACCTTGAGCTGTAATAATAAGCTCTTATGAAGAAATTATATCTTGTATAAGGTTAAAATTTTTAGTAAATGTTATTTATTATGAAACTATGGTCATATCAGCTAAAAACTGTAAATACATGTTGATTATTATGTGAACTAACCTTCTTAATTTAATGTCTAGTTATAATGTTTGTCTGATTACAAGTACATGTATATCTGCACACACAAAAGTTATAAAGTGAAAGAATTACATTCAAATGTTTAAGCATTTCATTGAGTTTTAAATATGTTCATGTTATATATTATAACTTGGAGCTAAGTTTGCCTGTTCACTATGTTGCACACTTTTAAAACTATATCAAAAAATGTGATAGTGTTTAAATTTCTACTCATACAAGACTTCATTGACTTTTTAACAGCTTGACATACTTTGAACAATATCAAGCTTGACTATTGCTGACAAATGTTGAATAAGTTGATTAGCAGACTTTTTTATTTTTTAATTTTTTTATACTTGTGCTGACTGCTGGTAATTTATTATTTGTTTATTTAAAATTATTAAAACAGAATAGGAAACTGAAAAAAGCTTAATTGTTTAAATAGATAAATGCTTTCAACTTAGTATATCACTTACCATCTTAAATATCCATAGTCACCACCTTCCCGAGCGCCAGGTAGCTTGGTAGTACATAACTATGCTGTGAAGCTTGCTTGATACTTTCTTTCACTTGATAAACATAGGAAGGCATTCACTATCTGAAATATGAAGGAAAACTATAAAGTATTTACAATAGACCAAATGGCAAAGAAATTAACAACTATAGGTCATCGTAAGGCCTTCAACAATGAGCAAAGCCCACACTACATAGTCTGCTTTAAAAGGCCCCGAAATGACAAATGTAAAACAAATCAAAGGAGAAAACTAGTTTACAATTTATAAATGATCTTTTATTAGAAATACTAAAGATATGCACAACATAATGCTTTTACAATCCTATAAAATATCCAAAAGAAGCCTTTAATTGTTATGATTACATTTTGTGCTAGGACTCAGAATGTCTTTTCTTATATCAAGCTTTAGGTTAGTTTCAAAGGCTATGGGCGTGAGGTTGTCATTAGGATGCACATGCTGCCATGAATGTTATAATTTTTTTTAACATTAAATTCCAAATTTTAGAGTGCCTCCTGATTGTTGTCTGGTTCCATATACATGAGCCTGTGGTTCAGTGGTTGTCTTTGGTTTATGTCTGTCATACTTGTTTTTCATTAATTGTTTTGTAATAAATAAGCTGTTACTTTGTTCAATTAAATTGTTTCATATTTTTCATGTCACACCTTTTATAGCCAGCCATAGCTGTTTTGGTTTTTCTCATTGTAGTAGGATGTAAAGTTTCCATTATTTAATTACATTCACTTCATTTGAACTTTGGTGGATAGTAGTCTCATTGGCAATCATACCACATCTTCTTATTTTACATGTCATATATTTTTCAACCAATCAAGATATTTTGTATTTCGCCATTTATATGTATAACTAGTCTGAATCATAATCAAGTTAATAATTAATAAACATCTCAAATTTCTAGACCTACAATTTTCAACAATACATATTGAAGCTTGAATGAAAAAAATATTTAAGGAGGCTCGTGGGTATAAATCTATTTTTTTTTAAATATATGATTTCTATTTTTTTCTTTAAATGTACTTTATCAAATACTAATAGAAAAATAAAATAAAAAATGGGGTCACTGTTCATTTAAGCTCACAATCTGCTTTCAAAAGAAGCATGCATTTTTTGTTAAGGAACTTTTTTCCGTTCAACTAATAGAAAAAATCGAGGTAATATCGAAATAAAAAAGAACTAAATTACAGAAATCACTTAAATTTAACAATTTTTTAGTTTAAGTAGAGATTATTTGAAAAAAATAATAAAAAATATAGGTCACCGATGAGTTAAAAAAGATATTACAATTTTGATGAAAAAATGGCATTTTTGCACCAAAGGGATATAATTTGGAGCTTTTTCAATGATATGAGCATTTTAAAAGTCATCTGGGGCCAAAACAAATAGATTTTTTTATTGAACTTTTTGCCATATCATAAAGAAACAACTAATAGTGTAAATAAAAAAATTTGTAATGAAAAAAAAAATGTTTAGATTTTTGCAGAAATTTTTGTACCCTCGAGCCTCCTTAAAAGCCAAACCTTGTATGAAGTTGAAATATTTACCTGATCATTCAAATATTCCTTTGGTCTAAGAGACTTCAGGTCAGCTGTAGTCAAAGCATGTTTAGCAACATGAAGGCGCTCTTTGGTCTTGGCCTGTGAAAAGCAGAACTTGGATTCAACTGAGTACCCAAGTGGGACATCTTCCAAGGTGAGCAGCACATCTTCTGGTTTGCTTGTTGTCAAGTAAGCTTCTAATAGAACAGCTGCAGTTATCATGATGGCTGGTACCCTCTTGACTGGATTTGGTAACTTGCGAAGTGGATGTGGTTTTAGTCTCTCCACAAGAGTGGTAATACATTGGTCAAGGTCAGATGGTGAGTCCTTTTGCCATTTCAGGTAGATTGATAGGCGTGGGCATTCCAGTGAGGCAGCTGTAAAACGTACGATATCTCTAGGGTTTGCCATGTTGTAGTTTGAACACTTGTCTACAATAAATTCAAGACTGATGTTTGGTAACAAAGTCAGCCATCTTTCAAAGGAATTGGGTGCAGTTTCTTTTGATCTACTAGTAGGTTGGTTGCTAGGTTTTCTGGCTTGCTGATGTCTAACATTTGATGTAGAATTGCGAAGGGTCTTAAGTTGTTTTAATGGTTTCTGGCTCTTTGCAGTTGGTTTCTGGCTCTTTGCAGTTGGTTTCTGGCTCTCTGCAGTTGGTTTCTGGCTATTTGCAGTTGGTTTCTGACTCTTTGCAGTTGGTTTTGGGGTCAAGTACCTTCTAAGGCTCTTTGCATTTAGGACTGTCTTTCTACCTTTTACCTTGTAGACACCTTTCCCTATATAGGTTGAAATGATAAATGGTCCTGTCCATCTGTGAACCATCTTGTCCCCACATCTGTTGATTCTCTTTGAGTTTTTTACTAGCACTTGCTCACCAGGTAGGAATGGTTTCTGGTGGTTCCTGTCATGGTACTCTTTCTGCTTAACCTGAGATTTCTTTATTTCTTCTTTGGTGTCTTTCTGTGTCTTAATAAGATGGACAAATGACATAATTCTATCGCTCAGTTCTACTTCATCTGATTTGTCTGAAGGCATGGCTGTAGGTATGTCTAGCTCTATTGGTAAGGTAGGTTTTCTGCCATATACTAGGAAGAAAGGAGTCTGCTTTGTTGACTTCTGGACACATGTTCTTGCAGCAAAGGCAACTTGTTGTAGATATTGGTCCCAGTCATTTTGTTGGTCATTTACATACTTCTTGAGTGAGTTGCACAGGGTCTGGTTAAACCTTTCTGTGAGCCCATTGGTTTGAGGATGGTAAGGAGATGACACTTTGTGGTCTATATTCAGCTTTGAACATAAGATTGAGTTGACCTTGTTACAAAATTCTCAGCCTCTATCAGTGATGACTTCAGATGGTGTCCCGTGTCGGCAAATCACTTCAATGATAAACTCAGCAATATGGTGGGAATGCTTTGATGGAATTGCCTTAACCTCTGGCCATTTCGTGAAATAGTCTGTAAGGACTGCAATAAATCTGTTATTGTTATCTGTGGTGTGAAGTGGACCAACAAGATCAAGTCCCAGCATGTCAAAAGGTCTGTCCTTTACTGGAATTGGGTGAAGTTCTGCTGAAGCCTTGGCAAGACAATTTTGACGTTGGCACTTGTCACAATTGCGGATGTAGTCTCTGATGTCAGCCTCCAGGCCAGTCCAGTAATACCGCTCCTTGACCTTAAATGTTGTTCTGTTTATACCCTGGTGACTAGCTAATGGATCAGAATGGCAACCTTGCAAAATGATGTCCCTTTCTGTCTCTTTGATAACACGTACACAGCCATGGGTTTTGTGGTTGTATAGCAAAGTACAGTTTGAAAATGTAAACCTCTTTGTCTTTCTTCTGTAGTTGTTCTTTTCATTCTTTGTCTGAAATAAATTGTATATATGTAATGCTTAGTTGTAACTAAATAATTATTATTTTACCAAACTACATTTTTGTACATTTAAATAACTAAGTATTTCTCTGTAGAAAAATAATTCTTAACCCAAAAAGAGTGGAACTTCATATGAATTTAGATATAAAAATTGAAACCAGAGCAATAAAACAAACTTATTAAATTTGTGTTAATGTTAATAGAAACGTGTAGTTCTGTGCTATTCAGCACTTGACTAAAAACAGGCATGTTAGTTATTTTAAGTTCAAAAACTGGAGATAATTCTTCTTATTAGCACAGATATACTAGACAACAGCAATGTTTGGTCTTGGATGGACATTTTTTCACTTGGCAATCATACCACATCTTATTTTTGGAATGACAACAGTAAACATTAAATGTGAAATACTGCAGATAATTTTTCAAGTCTGCTGAAATGTGTTACCATTATGTGATGGGTGTTAATGTGATCAGAAATGTGAAGTAATGTGCTATTCAGCACTTGACAAAAACCAGGCATGTTAGTTATTTTAAGTTCATAAACTGTAGATAATTTTTCAAATTAGCACAATTGTACTGAACATCAAAAACATTCGCCATTTGCTCTTGGATGGATAATTGTCTCATTGAATACACATCTTGTTCTCAAATGTATCTGAAAACTAAAACAACGTGTGATGTGTGTTAATATTAGTAAAAATGTGAAGTTCTGTGCTATTTAGCACTTAACTTCAATCAAACATGTTAGTTAAATGTTAAAAATGTGTCATTGCTCTGGTCTAGATAAAATTAAATAAAAATTTTGATTGATCACTCATAAATGTAGATGTAATTGCATATATATTCAACTTCAAGTATTGAGTTAAGGTAAAATATTTATACATGTTTGATATAATAAAAAGCGAGTGACAATATACAGTATCTTAAGAAATATACAGACATTACATTCATCAGTATATGTAGTATGTTCCTTCAATGAGAAATCATTTACTAGAATATCTAAAAAGCCTGTGAAGTTCACATGAATATACTATGGTCTTTTGTATTGTATCATATAAAAATAAGGTTACCAAATAATATATACCATTATAATGAATGTTTCATTTAATTGGTCCAGAAGTTTCAGAGAAGACTAAATAAAATGCTCTGCAGGGCGCAGCTTGATACTACCGCATAGGTCGAACCCTGAACAGTTGGGGCAAGTATGGACACAACATTCAAGCTTGATACGGCTCTGAATTTGGATTGTGAATTCAGGTTACTGACACAGAATGAATGTGGTCTAAGAACTTAAAAATTCTAAATTGGACATTTACCTATTATGGTCCAATATCAAGAATCTAAATACATGGTTAGATTCAGTATATCAGAGAACCCCAAGAATTCAATTTTTGATGAAATCAAACAAAGTTTAATTTTGGACCCTTTTGACCTCAATGTGGACCAATTTGATAATGGGGCCCAAAAATCAAAAATCTAAATACATGGTTAGATTCAGCATATTTAAAGAACCCCATATATTCAATTTTTGTTGAAATCGAACAAAAAAGTAGTTCAATTTTGGACCCCGATTTGGACCAACTTGAAAACTGGGCCCATAATCAAAAATTTAAATATGCGTTAAGATTCAGCATATCAAAGAACCCCAATAATTCAATTTTTGTTAAAATCAAACTAAGTTTAATATTGGACCCTTTGAACAGACCAATTTGAAAACAGGACAAAAAATTAAAAATCTAAATACACAGTTAGATTCGGCATATAAAAGAACCCACTAATTCATTTTTTGATGAAATCAAACAAAGTTTAATTTTGGACCCTTTGGATCTCAATGTTGACCAATTTATAAACAGGGCCCAAAATCAAAAAACTTAATACACGGTTAGATTCAGCATATCAAAGAACCCCACATATTCAATTTTTGTTGAAACCAAACAAAGTTTAATTTGTTTAATTTTGGACCCTTTAGACCTTTATGTAGACCAATTTGAAAACAGGACCAAAAATTAACAAGTACATGTATATCTGCACACACAAAAGTTATAAAGTGAAAGAATTACATTCAAATGTTTAAGCATTTCATTGAGTTTTAAATATGTTCATGTTATATATTATAACTTGGAGCTAAGTTTGCCTGTTCATTATGTTGCACACTTTTAAAACTATATCAAAAAATGTGATAGTGTTTAAATTTCTACTCATACAAGACTTCATTGACTTTTTAACAGCTTTTTACATACTTTGAACAATATCAAGCTTGACTATTGCTGACAAATGTTGAATAAGTTGATTAGCAGACTTTTTTATTTTTTAATTTTTTTAAACTTGTGCTGACTGCTGGTAATTTATTATTTGTTTATTTAAAATTATTAAAACAGAATAGGAAACTGAAAAAAGCTTAATTGTTTAAATAGATAAATGCTTTCAACTTAGTATATCACTTACCATCTTAAATATCCATAGTCACCACCTTCCCGAGCGCCAGGTAGCTTGGTAGTACATAACTATGCTGTGAAGCTTGCTTGATACTTTCTTTCACTTGATAAACATAGGAAGGCATTCACTATCTGAAATATGAAGGAAAACTATAAAGTATTTACAATAGACCAAATGGCAAAGAAATTAACAACTATAGGTCATCGTAAGGCCTTCAACAATGAGCAAAGCCCACACTACATAGTCTGCTTTAAAAGGCCCCGAAATGACAAATGTAAAACAAATCAAAGGAGAAAACTAGTTTACAATTTATAAATGATCTTTTATTAGAAATACTAAAGATATGCACAACATAATGCTTTTACAATCCTATAAAATATCCAAAAGAAGCCTTTAATTGTTATGATTACATTTTGTGCTAGGACTCAGAATGTCTTTTCTTATATCAAGCTTTAGGTTAGTTTCAAAGGCTATGGGCGTGAGGTTGTCATTAGGATGCACATGCTGCCATGAATGTTATAATTTTTTTTTAACATTAAATTCCAAATTTTAGAGTGCCTCCTGATTGTTGTCTGGTTCCATATACATGAGCCTGTGGTTCAGTGGTTGTCTTTGGTTTATGTCTGTCATACTTGTTTTTCATTAATTGTTTTGTAATAAATAAGCTGTTACTTTGTTCAATTAAATTGTTTCATATTTTTCATGTCACACCTTTTATAGCCAGCCATAGCTGTTTTGGTTTTTCTCATTGTAGTAGGATGTAAAGTTTCCATTATTTAATTACATTCACTTCATTTGAACTTTGGTGGATAGTAGTCTCATTGGCAATCATACCACATCTTCTTATTTTACATGTCATATATTTTTCAACCAATCAAGATATTTTGTATTTCGCCATTTATATGTATAACTAGTATGAATCATAATCAAGTTAATAATTAATAAACATCTCAAATTTCTAGACCTACAATTTTCAACAATACATATTGAAGCTTGAATGAAAAAAATATTTAAGGAGGCTCGTGGGTATAAATCTATTTTTTTTTAAATATATGATTTCTATTTTTTTCTTTAAATGTACTTTATCAAATACTAATAGAAAAATAAAATAAAAAATGGGGTCACTGTTCATTTAAGCTCACAATCTGCTTTCAAAAGAAGCATGCATTTTTTGTTAAGGAACTTTTTTCCGTTCAACTAATAGAAAAAATCGAGGTAATATCGAAATAAAAAAGAACTAAATTACAGAA